ATTCTGCCTGTTTCCTGCATTGTTCAATTTGTCTGCTTGCTGTTTTAGATCTTTGATGAGGTGGAACAGCGCAGAAAATTCTCCATGGCGATGATTTATCCATTTATGCAGAGCCTGAGGGAGTCTGCGTTTCCTGCTCCTGGACACACTGTTAATATCAAAAGTTTTATTCCAGAAAGAGGCACTGAGGTAAGAACTAGTGATAAAACTATTCATTTTTTTAAATCTTGAGGGCTGTCTGAGTGGCTGGTCAGTATAAAGGATGTGTCTTCCCCTTTATTTTTTTATTCTAATAAAAAAAAAAAAGAAAAAAAAAAAAAGGAAATGCCATCTGCCTGAGACTAGGGGTTAGAAGCACTCCAAATTGTACATCTCACACTATTAGTCCTGACATCGTTCTCTGAACAATGACTTACATAACAATTGTGGTTCTCGTAATGGCATACGAATGCAGTGTTGCTCAAGACAGCAGCTGCTACACTTTCCATTTCCACTGTATTTGCTGCAGTTGAGTCAACACCAAAAACCAAAAAACTGGTGTTAGTCTGTCATTTTCTATTAAACACAAAGAAGAGGAAATTAAACGAGAGTGTGAAATCGTGGAAGAGAATAAAAGCTGGTTTTACATGTATTTTCCCCAGTAATTTTAAACCAGAGAGTCAATTACAATACATTAAAGGAGGTGTAAAGTAATACGTCTCTAATTCCAAACAAGCGGACAGGCAGGCAGAGACACGCTATTCACAAACACACACCTCCTCAGCTCTGGCTAAACAGCAGGAAATTGAAGTGAGTGAAGTAATAGCTCAGGGGAAAGGGCAGAGATGAGCTGTTTCATGCAGGTATGTCCTCATGCTTTGTACCAACTTGACTGAGTTCTGCTTGAAATTCTCCTTCAGCACATTTTCTATGTAACATTCCAACATATCTCACATTATTATAAAAACCATAATTCTGCGATTAGTTTGACCTCATCAGTGATTTTATTTGTAATTTAATCTATCTATCTATTTATCTATCTATCTATCTATCTATCTATCTATCTATCTATCTATCTATCTATCTATCTGTCTATCTGTCTGTCTGTCTGTCTGTCTGTCTGTCTGTCTGTCTGTCTGTCTGTCTGTCTGTCTATCTCTATAATTGATGGTACTCAATTTAAAGTTGCGAGTTAGCAACAAATTACTAAAGAAAAAATACTTAATACTTAATAATTTATCAGAACTGACTATATGGCTATATACGTAACTAAATGACAAAAAGAGGATTACAATTAGGCTGAAAACATCAAACATGAACACTAAATACAATTAATAAAACTAAAAAACAAACCAATTTATATTACTGTATGGAAAATATAGGGACTAAAACATTATCAATGATTCAAATGAGAGACAAATTTCCTCCCTGATGACAAATAAGTGATCTATCTCTCATTGCTTCTAGCTAGTTATCCCCCAACAGTTTTTTTAATAAAATATCTACTGTACCTATAATAAAGCATCTGTGTATCTCTCTGTAGATCATCAGTTTGACTCGTCCAACAGACTCCTGGCTGGAGCACGTAGATTTCCGCACATTGTTCAAATGCCTGTCAGATGAGGAGGTGCTCCAGGTGTTTGCTGCTACTGTACTAGAGCGGAGGATCATCTTCATCGCTGACGAGCTTGGGTGCCCAAACACACATACACAAGTGTTAGGTTTTGCTTTGATTTATATGTTTATGTATAACCCATATTGATCAAACCCATGCTATCTCTGCAGGACGTTGTCTCAGGTGATCCACGCAGTGGCTGTTCTCCTGTATCCATTCATCTGGCAGCACACGCTCATTTCCATCGTTCCCGAGATCCTAATCGATGTCGTCATGGCACCCACACCATACCTGCTGGGTGTTCAGAAAAGTCTCGCAGATCAGGCCACTGACCAGACCGAGGTGAGTGACCAGACTCGTGACACGGTTTAAATATCGCAAGCAATTTACATTTCAAACGCTACAAGCTGACATCTAAATTCATCTACTCACCCAGCTGCTTGTTGTTGACTTGTCAGAAGGCAGGAAGGAGACATTTATCAAGTGTGTAAGTTCACGTTTACATCAAAGAGAGCATCTTTTCATTTGTTGCCTTGAAAAGTGACTGATGGATATAGTGTGGGTGACTATGGTTGAAATGTTTCTCCAAACAGATGGGAGATGAGGACACAATATTACCTCACAAACTCAAAGATGAAATCAAACAGGCCCTCAGTGCCAAGAATGAGAAATCAAGTAAGCAGCATTTTTACTCCATATTTAGAGGAGTTTGTTTTTTATTTATTATTTTCTTTTTTATTATCAATTTTCTCATTGCTCATAAGTAGCGTTAAGCATTTTAACAAACCCGTAATAAGGCCCAGGTATACTTCATTTTCCAACTTAAATTCTGTTTCACGCACAGTTGACCGTCAGTGTGGAAGGATGCGTTCAGCACATGCACACTATCTAGTAGACCGTTCGTTTTAAGCACTCAGTCACTCGGACATGCAATGGAAAGACTGGGTCATTTTACTGACTTCATCTTTGAATCTCCTTGAGCCAAATGAATTCAGGTTTTGAACTCATTTGAGCAGTGTTATATTTTCAATAGCCAAATTCTCCAAACATGTCCACATACACAATCTTTGACCATATTTTGTATTAGGAAATCATTGTAAAGGAGCCAAATATAGATTACAAAAAATGTATGATTATTTTTTCCCCCAGTCTTTTGTTCATTTGTCATGTGACACACGCAACGAACGAATCATCATTGCGTGAATGATGTACTTAAATGCTGGCACATAACTTTATTCTATATTGTTGGTGCTACGGGCATAAATGATCAATTATTCGCAAATACAGTACAGTCTAAAGACTGTTGCCATATTTCGCTAGAAAACCCAGCACCTGATTCTAACAAAATAGCTAAATAATAAGCTACTTGGCACCAGCCACAGCAAATAAGCCTAAATTAACCAAAATACGCTACTGTGTTTTTGTAAATAAGATCAAAAACACAATCCACAACTGGTAATATCTACAAGAAATACTATGAAAAGCAAGCCCAAAAAACGTACGTATTCTAAGCAGACATGGTAACACTGCATGCGCTGCGTTACGACCGTAAACAAGACGCAGCGCCTCTCTCAATTTTAGAAGTTTCCAGACATATAATGCGTCTTTAATCGCTAATATTACTTGCGTTAAATACGTTTTAAACAGTTTTCGTTAATGTTTCATGTTCACAACCGCAAGACGCTGTGAAGTTGCTATGTAAATAATCACAATCGCACCCTAGAAACAGCATATAATTCTCTCAAAACAATAGCATAAATGTAAAAATCTAGTTTATTCATACTTTCACGTACACAATTATTTTGACCAAGTATTTAAAACTAATAACCTATATTTATATAATTTATCATCACTTCAGGTCTGGAGGAGTTGAACCGGGTGGTCCCAGAAGCTTTCCTGCCGTTCTTTATCAAGACTGTCGGCCACTTCGCTAAGTACATCGTGCGGAAGGGCAAAGACCAGCGGGGCGAGTTCCAGCGAACAAATTTCTGTAAAGCAATAGAATCCAAGAGCACACGACGGTTTGTGAAGACATTTGTACAGACGCAGATGTTCGACCTCTTCATTCAGGAAATGGAACAGAGACCCGCCTCTCAGGACGGCACAGGTGAGACACTTTGACCTAACATTAAAATGTATATTTTTAAATATTTTTTCACATTGAATCTCTAAATTAATGTAGAAATGTATATATATATATATATATATATATATTTTTTTTTTTATGTCATCTTTGTACTGAGTACTATGAACGAAGGCAAGCATCACCAATACTGATGTCTGTTCAAATGTTTTTCTTTTTTGTTTAATTTAAGTGAACTTAAAATCTTCACATAAACCTATTATAATAAATGTCACATTTTGAGGTATCTTTAATAGTGTCATCTTAATGACTGGTACTTTGATTTACTTTTGCTTAAGAAGAGGATGCTACCGATATAAAAATGATCTTGAATAGTAATAAAACGTATAGTTAATATTTTCTCCCAATTTTCCAGGGCTCTTTGACAAAAAGATTACTGAATACCAGAAAAGGATGAGGGAGAAAGCCAAGAAAAACTAGTGGAAGCACTCACCAAAGTAGCTGGTTGTAAATCTTGTGTGAAATAAACCAAACATGTCCACATACACAATCTTTGACCATATTTTGTATTAGGAAATCATTGTAAAGGAGCCAAATATAGATTACAAAAAATGTATGATTATTTTTTCCCCCAGTCTTTTGTTCATTTGTCATGTGACACACGCAACGAACGAATCATCATTGCGTGAATGATGTACTTAAATGCTGGCACATAACTTTATTCTATATTGTTGGTGCTACGGGCATAAATGATCAATTATTCGCAAATACAGTACAGTCTAAAGACTGTTGCCATATTTCGCTAGAAAACCCAGCACCTGATTCTAACAAAATAGCTAAATAATAAGCTACTTGGCACCAGCCACAGCAAATAAGCCTAAATTAACCAAAATACGCTACTGTGTTTTTGTAAATAAGATCAAAAACGCAATCCACAACTGGTAATATTTACAAGAAATACTATGAAAAGCAAGCCCAAAAAACGTACGTATTCTAAGCAGACATGGTAACACTGCATGCGCTGCGTTACGACCGTAAACAAGACGCAGCGCCTCTCTCAATTTTAGAAGTTTCCAGACATATAATGTGTCTTTAATCGCTAATATTACTTGCGTTAAATACGTTTTAAACAGTTTTCTTTAATGTTTCATGTTCACAACCGCAAGACGCTGTGAAGTTGCTATGTAAATAATCACAATCGCACCCTAGAAACAGCATATAATTCTCTCAAAACAATAGCATAAATGTAAAAATCTAGTTTATTCATACTTTCACGTACACAATTATTTTGACCAAGTATTTAAAACTAATAACCTATATTTATATAATTTATCATCACTTCAGGTCTGGAGGAGTTGAACCGGGTGGTCCCAGAAGCTTTCCTGCCGTTCTTTATCAAGACTGTCGGCCACTTCGCTAAGTACATCGTGCGGAAGGGCAAAGACCAGCGGGGCGAGTTCCAGCGAACAAATTTCTGTAAAGCAATAGAATCCAAGAGCACACGACGGTTTGTGAAGACATTTGTACAGACGCAGATGTTCGACCTCTTCATTCAGGAAATGGAACAGAGACCCGCCTCTCAGGACGGCACAGGTGAGACACTTTGACCTAACATTAAAATGTATATTTTTAAATATTTTTTCACATTGAATCTCTAAATTAATGTAGAAATGTATATATATATATATATATATATTTTTTTTTTTATGTCATCTTTGTACTGAGTACTATGAACGAAGGCAAGCATCACCAATACTGATGTCTGTTCAAATGTTTTTCTTTTTTGTTTAATTTAAGTGAACTTAAAATCTTCACATAAACCTATTATAATAAATGTCACATTTTGAGGTATCTTTAATAGTGTCATCTTAATGACTGGTACTTTGATTTACTTTTGCTTAAGAAGAGGATGCTACCGATATAAAAATGATCTTGAATAGTAATAAAACGTATAGTTAATATTTTCTCCCAATTTTCCAGGGCTCTTTGACAAAAAGATTACTGAATACCAGAAAAGGATGAGGGAGAAAGCCAAGAAAAACTAGTGGAAGCACTCACCAAAGTAGCTGGTTGTAAATCTTGTGTGAAATAAATCAGTCAGTCAGTAGTAAATAATTTTAAGGAATGTAGATAGAATTAAATGTCAGATTATGTTTTATTTATGTTGTCATGTGTTAGTTGTCAGACTTTTACTGCTGTTTGTCATTTGTGTCGGGGTTTTGTTGGGTGTTGTGGGTAACTGTATTGTGATAAGCTGCTGTATTTAATGCATGAAAGGCTTGTTTGAGCTAGAAACGTTTTGACCAGAACAATGTCTGAGCCAGTGGAAACGTGCTGAATTGAAAAACATCCATTTTTCAATGAAAACAAAACGGCGAATGAAATTAAATTAAATAAAAAAAAAAACACATTTCATCTCCACATTTCACAAATAATTGTAAAAGCACTGAAATATGTCAAAACATTTAACATGTTTCTTCTAAAATTAAAAAGGAAAAACACTTAAAGTGGTGTGATACTTTGGCGATAAAACGTGTGTAAAAATATTTGTACATACATACCTAGACTCTCTCTCAATATTCTCAGAATAATGCATAAAGCTTAGAAGTTACAGGAGCTTCTCTTGAACGTGAAAAGTTTCCTCGGGAACACTCAAATCTGTGAAGTACTGTCTACTGAGTGCCGGCTGCAGTGCTGGATGTCAGACACATGGTGGCAGATTGTCTCTCACATGGCACCAGCCAGCAAAGGTGAACGCTCTCCATGCTGCACATGCTCTCTCTCTTCATAGTGAGGATAGTCGTAAAGATGGTTACTCTGAAGAACAGGCTGAACCCGCAAAGTGATTTTCTGGGGGTAGAAAAAAGAGGTTTGGTCAAACGGGTGGCAAACTTAAGCAAATTAGATTTTATGCACATACTAAAAATATTATTACACATCATACGATAAGTTATGACATACAAACTCATGAACCAGTGTAAGTAACAGTAACAGATCATACCTGGAAATCATGTATATACGTGAAGAAGAAGCAGATGAAGGAGGATGCCAGAGACCATTCAGCTGCCGCACTGACCTGGTGCGCCACACTCTAAAAAATGTTGGGTTAAATACAACCCAGTGCTGGGTAAAATAGGAACAAACCCAGCAATTGGGCTGTTTTGACCCAGCGGTTGGGTTAAATGTTTAACCCAACCTTCTGGGTAGTAACACAACCGCTGGGTCAAAACAACCCAATTGCTGGGTTTGTCCCTATTTTACCCAGCACTGGGTTGTATTTAACCCAGCATTGTTTAGAGCGTAGAAAACCCTCAAATTCAGTAGAGTTTACTTTTACATCTATACACATCCATTATCAATGCATCATCAATTTCCCCAAAATATTAAGCAGCAAAAACAGTTTTTAACATTAATGATAAAAAGATCCATTAATAACTATTCATTATTAATAACTGGGCACCAGATCAGCATATTAGAATGATGTCTGAAGGATCGTGTGACACTGAAGACTGGATTAATGATGCAGAAAATTCAGCTTTGCATCACAGGATTTACATTTTAAAATATATTAAAATAGAAAATAGTTATTTCAAATTGTAGGCTAATAATATTTCACAATATTACTGTTTTTTGTTATCTAATAAACGCAGTCATGGTGAGCATAAGAGACTTCTTTCAAAAACATTAAAAAATCGCAGTGTTTTCATCAGAATTCTTTTCCACAGACCCCTACATAACACGAAATGAAGTTCCTTAACGTAAGTTAGGGAGGAGCGAGCCCATCTAATCTTTCAATCAACAGCCAGAGTATATAAGCAGCTGCTTACCTCTCTCCAGTCGCAGCTGTTCCAGCATCCCTCCACCTCCCCAAAACTCCACCTTCATCTTAGGTACCTTGCCCTTCGTAATCATCCTATATCAAGTCCCTGGGGGTATATCAGAGCTCGAGTTGAAGCTGCTTCATCGAGCCCCTCATCAGGGGACAGCAAGCCAAATAAGTTTACACACAATTTCCTTAAAGATTATATGGGCAAACAAACTCGTTAACCTAATGTAACTTTCCTTCAAATCAAACTTTGCTATATTATATTAAACCAGTGTATTTCCATGAAAGTTACACTTTCATTATATTAATGTGACTTAATGTGATTTTTTTTCATACATTCACATACCTTCACAAATGCAGTTACACTACAGTATATATACACCAAAAAAAAAATTATAATAATTGGGGATTTACTGTTCCTCAGAGTGACTTCTCTTGAACGCTGCATATTTGGCCAACTATAGTAAGTTATTTGCACACAGATAATTTGCATATATGTCCAGCATGTATGCAGGTACTATGTTTGAAATAATAAAAGAGCCTGTATAGTAACTTCAGATCAAGTGTATCATCTGTCGTACTCTCTCTCTGGGCTGCCAGTGGAACTTATTAGCTACATCCATGCCAGGCAGGTCATCATACATTAGTACAGAGGATATGAAAACTGACAGATTCAGTCAAAGAAGCAGAACAGGTATAAGAGTACTGACACAGTTGGTTTATAAGAAATATAGAGAATCATTACAAACTGAGATGATTTTAAAGACTGCATATATATTGAGAAAAAGGATACATGTAATGATGCTAATGAGCGACCACATTCCCACAGCCATACGAGCCCAAAAAATATCCCTGCCACGGAAACGTGGCTGCATGCGATACGACATGCCAGTCTGGACCAGTACATACAACGTCCCAGCACCAAAGGTCAGCCCTGCTCCCAACAGGTGGATGGATATATCATATCTGTTTTCTGGAAGAATATAAAAAAACATTACACTGACAGTTTCAGAGAACTGACACTCAGATCAGAGAATGAAACTGTGGGTGTCACCTGGAAGTTGGCCACAAAGCACATCCCTACAGTGCTGACGATGCCCATCAGGAGGCCTGTGTAGTTCAGCAGCTGTAAGCCCGACTCAGAGGCTGAAATCAAAGCCTGAACTTGTTTATATCGCACATACATGGTGCCCAACCCTCCAAACATACATACAGGAGAGTAGGGGTGAATCAATCCTCAACATCTTCCCAAAATATCCACAGATTAAAAGAAATAAATACAAGTTGGGCTGCTATTCTTATTTGCATTTCTGCGGTGTCAAAAATCATGATTAGATAAACACAAAACCATTTTAAAACGGGTAAAATTCAACAATTTGCTTCAACAGTTTGTAAATTAGAATCTAAAAGGATATTGAAATATCTTTAGCACATCTTGAGAGCGTTTCATTTGGGAATATAATATTTATGGCACTCAGACAGTTATGCTCTAGGCAATTGTTTTGATAGAACGAAACAAGATACATCTCTACTCTCAACATTATTTATTCTTCAAACATTCCTATTTAAAAGAAAAAAGTATCAGCTGTATGCAAAGTGACCCTCATTTGAAAATGTGTTAGAATTTACATTTTACTTACGGGTCAACACTAAAATCCCCATATAGGGCCCTTAAAGAAAAGTTTGTTGAGAAACAAAATCTAAAAGGATATTACTTCTTGAGTTACAGCCATGCAAACCTTTGAACTGTCACCATTTGCGACGAAACACAGCGTCACACACAGTGACCTAGAGTGAGCGGCGGCCGGCTAGAGTGAGGACCGGACAGAGGGCTAGAGTGAGCGGCGGCCCGCTAGAGTGAGGATCCGACAGAGGGCTAGAGTGAGCGGCGGCCGGCTAGAGTGAGCAGAGGCCGGGGGCTAGAGGGAGCGGCGGCCCGCTAGAGTGAGGACCGGACAGAGGGCTAGAGTGAGCGGCGGCCGGCTAGAGTGAGCAGAGGCCGGGGGCTAGAGGGAGCGGCGGCAAAAAACAAAAATAGCTGGGGATCTCTGGTTGACCTGACATGCAATGACCCAAAAGTTAAAGGGGTCATATGATGCTGCTAAAAAGAACATTATTTGGTGTATTTGGTGTAATGAAATGTTTTTATGCGGTTTAAGGTTCAAAAACACATTATTTTCCACATACTGTACATTATTGTTTCTCCTCTATGCCCCGCCTTTCTGAAACACGTCTAGAGTGAGCAGAGGCCGGGGGCTAGAGTGAGCGGCGGCCGGCTAGAGTGAGGACCGGACAGAGGGCTAGAGTGAGCAGAGGCGGCGGGCTTGAGAACGGCATGGCCAGCGGATTCGACGAAGGAGCGTCTGGAGGGCTTGCGGCAACCACATGTGACGACCCCGGACTGGACTCCGCTTCGTCCACAGTGAAAGCCGATCCGGTGATCCACAGCGCAAAGTTGTTGTATTTCCTCACCAACCTACACGGATCAGCTCTAGGCATGACGAAGCGGATATCGTCCTCTTTTGGAAGGCCAAACAAAGTAGTTTCGCTTTCACAACGAAACACACAGCACCTTTACAACATGGCGACAGTAACACCAATACTACAGCGAGAATAAAAGTTATGCCTTCTTTCTTTGCATCAACATTTGGGCGGCGTTATGCAAATCTTCCCAGATAGTGACGTAGACATGTGGGGGCGTGTTAGAACGAGCCGTTTTAGGTAGGTGTGGCTGATACTTAAATTTTATAAAGAATATCTCTTTGGATTTGAAACTTGTCTTTGCAACTTTACAGATCTTCTTTATGCACCAAGAGCTTGTAACACTCCAAAGAGAAAGGAAAAATTGAAATCGCATCATATGACCCCTTTAAATGAATGTGAGAGAAGTCATGTAATACTGTAAAGTCATGCACTAAACAGCATTTGTTTTTGCATTTGTTGACTTTTCAAATGTATTTAAAAACTAAAATAAACAAGTGATTTTGAACTAAAACCCCTTGGCAGAATACAGAACTCAAAAGGACAAGATGCACAGCATTACCTGAGAAAGCTGAGATTGACAGCATGAAGCCAAACACACAGCGTTCAGGAACCTCAGTGCCTGTGTCACTACAAACAAAATAATACATTTTGCACAGTTTGACAGATGACAGAAATAAAACAAAGCAGTCAGCTGAAGCTGAAAGATACAGATGGTAGTTCACAGAATGTCTCTGATCTACATCCGTCAAACTCTTAAAAGTGATACTACACTAAAAAATGCATGATTTATTTTCATCTTATGCATTCCAAGTATTCATGCAACAAGGTTTCTCTTCATAAAATGTTTCAAAATGTTCTCAAAGCCTAAAATGATGCATGACTCTGCATGGACATCAAGTACAAATAAAACTGAAAAACGTACCTTATGGAATGAGTATGTCGGCATGGCCCAACACGACCGCTGTGGCATAAGAGATGAGGAACGTATCGGATGACCAGATAACTAGAGCCCCCGGAAGAGCACAGAGCCCTCTCTGAAACCACCACATACTGCCCTCACATTCAGATATTCACTCACAGAGATCACCAACATCAAGAACCATCAGTAACACAACATGAGCTTAGAGGTCAAATCAACCCAGTAGACAGAAAGTTACACATACTGTAGATATATACGCACACACACACACACACAGTTAAATACATTGAGGTGAGGATGCAGAAAACTGAACAAACACAAGAGAACAAACATAGAAAAGATAAAGATATTATATTTTGCACAAAGAATACGAAGGACCCCTTTTTTTTTTTTTTTTGGCATGGTGAAAATATTTTAAACACATTTAAATATAATGTATAATGTACTTTTTAACTATAAAACTATTTAATTTAATCTTCCTTTTTCTTTCCAGTTTCATGTATGTACAACTGACAAATATGCATCATATTACATTTTTTATTTACATCTAAATCTAAATATAAGCCTAATTATTGTTTAGTGTGATATTTTATTTATCACCCTATTTTATTTATGAAAAATGTTATTACTGTTACAAAAAATATATATATTTAATATACATTTATTAAAAGTATTTTTGGAAAGATAATTTTAAGCACATCATTACTGATTTTTTTATTTATCCTGATCAGTGTTGTTTTTGTATAATTAAGATATTATATATATATTTTTTATTTATATTTTCAATTTTCATTTGAGCAATTATTAATAATTATATATATATTTTTAATTTTCATTAGTAATTTTGTTGTGTTTTAGTCATTGTTATCAGTTTTTTTGTTATTTTTAATTTTAAATGTCTATATATTTTTTATTTCAGTTTTAGTTATATTTTTATATATATTTCTTTTATTTCATCTTTTTATTGTTTCAGTTAACTAGGATGCCTTTTCATTTAAAAAGCAGGAATAGTATGTACTACAGAATTGAGAATTATGGTAATACTAATTTTTTGAGAAAATGAAAATAATGTCACCGTATATTTTATATGCAGTTTTTAAACACGAGTTTCAGTTTTGTTCAAGGTGACAACAGTTTTGCAGTAACTGTTGAATAAGCGCATGGATTTAATTTGGATTTAAAGGCCACTGTATTCAGAAAGGTCACACCAAACACTGTTAGGTTGGTTAGGGTTTGGAGGCTTTAAGGCCCACATTAACTGCTCCACAATAGAGAGGATTCATTAGTCTAATACTGTGTGAAAAATACACACTGTACATTTATAAGAAGCACAGTAATGGAGTTCTTATAAAATACTTAAGGGGTCATGAAATTCCAAATGTGACTTAATAAAGAGAATATTTACTGCTTATATTAGTATATATGTATGTTGCTCCAAGATGCACTTAATGGGAAATCACAGTACTGGCGTTATTTTAGTATCATTTATATACCAATTTTCATATATTTTCTCTTTTAGTAATTTTGTTTTGTTTATGCATTTTTTTAATGTGTCTGTGTAGCTATTAATTTTTATTTCACTTTTAGTTTTTTTTATGGTTTTAGTTTTGGTTTTGTTTTTAGTTAATTATAATAACTCTGCTTCTATGGAGCATGTCCAAAAACCATGGTACATTGTTGGTAGCATAAGAACTAAAACATAATACTAAAACAAACTGAGGCAGTGATCAAGAAATCTGTTAACATAAATATAACAATCTTTATTTCATGACCATTAGTCTATTACAAAGTAAAGTATTTGATGTAAATCAACAGAACAACAAAAATACTGGTCGAGGTACAAATTCTACATGTATGCAAATGTAGATGCAGCGACAGACACCATTTTCTTCAACTGTGTGTTTTGCAGCTTTGGCTGACCTCGGAGCGGCCCAGGTGAACGGATGACGCGTTTAGAAAAAAATTCAAAGGGAGAAACACAAATACACGGAAACCCACTTAAATAACATTCACGACAGGATTAAAACATCTTCAATAAAAGTCTCAAATCAAGAGACTAAAATAACATATACAAGCAACTGCTCAGAGGTAGATGCAAAACAATAACGCGTTTTGAGAAATATATAAAGAGTTTGGCCACTCTGTTCATATTCTACTCTTGGAAGCACCCGATACAGAACTTCAGAGTTAATGTCTATTGTTTTGCAATATAAATGTCCAAAACAAATTGGCATGAGGGTAAAAAATATATATAATGACTGATTGCAGATTGCTAATTCAATAACGCGACATGCAGGAATATGAAATTGCATCTTTGTGGAGAATGATGCTTACAAACAAAAGGCGATTTACACAAGAGGTTAAAAAATATCAAAATCGCTGAGTCCCACGTTTACTGTGTGCATAGAAGAGTATACCGACAGTGACAAATAAAAGGCACAAAAATAAATTAGCACAAGTTATCACATTAACTAATGTATTTAGAGCAAAAACACTCATTTTTAAGGTTTTAATGTCATCTATTATTAAGGGTTCATTTGTACAGTGTAACTCACTTATAACATTCTAGACGTCTATCTTGGCCCCAGTTATTATTAAGAAAATATGGCACTATCAAAAAACTGTTTCTAATACAGTTTTTATCATTTAGTGACATTGGTATACTTAAATAATAATAATAATAATAATCCCCTCCAAAACACTACAAACACAAAGTAACATATGCATAGAAAGAAAAATGATACATACTGTATAGATTAGTTAACCGAATTACATCAGATGAGAGGCTGAATTAGCAGGATTTGTAAATGTGAAATTCTTGTCATTTCTGAAATATTGATGGAACCTCTTGAGCCTGTTTTTCTTGTCATAAGATCTGATGTTATCTCTTACCTCTCTGAATGCTCTCTGCTCCTCGCAGACAATAGAGCACCGCTTTGAACTGGCAAGAGTGTACATTTTGATTAGTGAATGGCCGCAAAGATTCCAGTTAATGCCTATAGCATTCTGTAATTATGAAACTGCATTCAGATGGAGTGCTGGCTGTTAATGGAACACTACACTAATCTACACTGCTGGGCAAAATACTTGGTTCAAAACAAAACAAAATTAAATGAAGCAAAACAAAAAACAAAACAAAATGAACAAACAAAAAACAAACTGAAACAAAACAAAAAACACACACACAACACCCCCCCCCCCACCAAAAAACAAACAAAAACTAAATAAAACAAACATTAAAATGGACAAAAACAAAACAAAAAACATTCATAGTTGTGGCCTCTGTGGCAGATCTTCTAACTATGGCAAACATAACTGGTCATCTAACAACAAAATACTGACAACTGAATGGTGTTCTAACCGTAGGATGTATATTCTTTTAAATATTCCATATCGTCCTTCAAATATCCTCTCTCTCTCTCTCTTCATTATGAGAACAAAGTTCGTAACTGCAGCCATTTGGGCTCGGGCTCTGTGAGTTGTCATTTACATTCACTACTTCAGTAGGTGCGTGACCTACTGGAGGTGTTTGAGGGAGAGGGGACGAGAGGTTAGTGGTGATTTCTGCTGTCTGCCTGGACTCTGGATGGAGACGGAGGCTGGATGCTGAAGACACGGATGTTTAAGTGTGTGGCGATCTGGTTACAGACACTCACGCAGTACCGCACCAGATCAAACGCTGACAGCACCTACAAATAAAAAGGAAAAAGCTAAAGCATTTTTGATATGGCAAGATGAAAATTTTAAAAGCAGGGTATGTTTTTTGGGGTTAAAGAAAGGTGAAGATCATGCACTTCCCACAGTTAAGATCTACACTTTTATATTTTTCCCTCTGATTATAATGTTAAAGTTTCTTCATAATTTAGTTTTACAAGATGATTTTCACCCTCTCTCTGACCCCATATGCTCCCGTAACTTTAAGAATTCTATACTTTGGATATAATTAGCAAGTATCTTCACATGTGAAAAGAGTAATATGTTGATCAATACTAAACAAGTGAAGTCAATGTGAAACCCCATTCATAATCCATTTTACTTCTGTAATCAGACATATTTCCAGGTGAAACAGGATGTTCAGTAAAAAAGAAAAAAAAAAAATTATATATATATGAAATTCATAACTATAAAGGCCTGTTTCTGCCACTAAATAAATAATAAAAAAGGTAATTTTCTCAGAATTGCATGATATAAACTCGCAATTATGAGTTAGAAAGTCATAATTGTGGGATATTAAGTTGCATTTGAGTGTTACAATGTCAGAATTCTGAGATATATACTTGCAATTCTGACTTTTTTCTCACAAAAGACGTTTTTCATAGAATACATAACTCAATGTGTTAATAGTGTAAACAGATCTAAGTTGTTTCAGAGGAAGTGCAAGTCACTATATTGCAGATTTCTTTTTAAATTGGAAATAGTGCATAATATGACCAGGAAAGTTTATTAAGAGTGTAAATCGTGGCGATTCTTATATCATGTTGACTTGAATGTGCTTGTAATTGTGACGTCACAACCATGACGGTTTCTGAATGACCTTTGTTTCAACTTCATTTCAATAACTAGTCTCAGCAGACTGTGTAAGAAGCCATGCGATGTGATGTCTACATACTACAGTGAGCTCTTTCTTTCAAAAGAGCAAGGAAAATCCATGTTTTCAGACAAATCTCACACATACCAGTGCGACCCACAGAAGCCAGTACTCATTAATGAAACTGTTGAAGTACTGGTTCAGAAACAGCAGCGCTGGCCCGGTGAAGGCCAGGTCATTACGATGCATTTCACTCTTTGTCATATGAGCAACCTGGAAAACAAAACAGATGTGACTGTAGTGACATTTACTGATGCTAATGTGGTTTGAGTCTGACAGATATGAACTACAGACAACAATGGCAAGTATTTATGTTAAAATGTGCAGAAAATCATACTAACAGCGGTTTTATGCTCACATACAAGCCATAATTCTTCCTACCAACTATAAAAACAGTTCAGGTAGAGGTACATCAATAATCTGCCAATAGTATTCATATGCATGAATACTATTTATCATAGCACTTATTTAGTGAAGCTGAAATAAATACAGTATATTGATGTCATTCATGATCTTACCACCAGTCTGTTGGTGAGTTTGGCCGAGACAAATCCAAATGCTAAGATGTAGAGACAGGGATGCCTCTCGAATAGCTGCATTGAA